TACACAAAAGGGAAATTGGAAAAGATGAGCTACTTCTAAAATTCAGTAGAAGTGATCTTTCTCATGAAAATTTAAAGAAGATATGTTTGTTATCCTCAACATATTTTTAGGGTAATGTAATTTGTAAAGGTGAAAAATGTATATCTACTATTATAATAAAGAGCAGCTAACTTAAGTTATACTAGGAGCTACCCAAAATGAAGGTTTTCTCTTAAATTATGATGAAAGAATCCTAGTCACTTATATTCAACTAGAATCTCAGTATTTGCAGTTTTATGCTGATTTGTATCCAATTTGAGTAGAAATGGATATGAGTGTTTATCTTCCATAATAGCTTGCCACAAGCCTACTACTTAAATCATGTAACATATGGAAAATGTGTTTAGCTCCTTGTAGAATTTCACAAACCAAAAAAAAGATCCATTTCTATTCACATGGCTTGTTTACAGTCATTATAAAAGCATGCTACTGTGTTGCTTACTAGTTAGGAGAAGCAAATGTTGGCATACTGCAGACTCCATTACATTGGTCTTTAAGAAATATATGTATTGCTTTTCAGTTTAAGGAAATAATAATAATCATTGTATTTCTTGTGCTTTAGACCCGAACATTCTTTTTAGGATGTATTTTTATTCTTTCACATTATCTCTCCAGATATTTTATAGTACTTATGGCTAAAGTTTTACATAAATATATTAAAGACTGCTCATGCTTGAATGAATTGCCATCCAGGGATTAATCTGTAACCTTTATGAGCATGTTTTATTAATATCATATTATCATTAAATTGAATATTAATATTTAACATTTAATAAGCATAGAATGTATATGTGAGAATGTATTTCATGCCAGTGGGTTTTGAAAATGTAGACAAGTCACTATAACAGCCTAAGAATAATTAAACATGCTCCTCATAGTATACTAATTACAGTGGCATAACTCATTTAAGAGGTAGTTCTTAGAAATGATGATTATAATATTTTTGTTTGTCAGCATGCTGAGTACTATGTCCTGAAGGAACAGAAATATTTGGTATACCTTTGAGAATATCTATTGCACTCCTAAATTCTGGAAATATATTTGCCATGTAATGATTCATAATTAAACATGAAACTGATAAAGTGAAGAAAATTAAAAATTATCAATATTATAAAAAATGATTAAAATTTTTATTTTACTAATTGAGTTGTTCTTATTGGTAAAGCAGTATAAGTTGTCAATAAAGAAGTACTTTTTAAATGACTGAATAATTAAAACATATTTCAATGTTTTTAGCTTCAAAATGTCTTGATTATTAAACTGTTTTTCTTCATCACATGTATACTTATATATATTTGTATAAATTTATAAATATTTTTGTACATATATTTGTTTGTTTAAATAGTTGATTATGAATATAAATGTGTTTAATAGGTATCCTGAGCAGTAAAAATCCACTCTTTCCTAAATGGCAATTAAGAAAGCTTATGTTAGCACCAAAAAACAAACTTTTGTATAGGTTCTGTCATGTAGTAGAATACATGAGAATATATTCTCAGGCAGCTCCATCTCCATTTTAGACAATTCTATAGTCTGGTCAAGTTTTCTCTGGATTATTTGGATTATTTTCTTTTTCTTCCCTTGAATATCTCACTTTTATGAAATAAAACTGATATTTAGGGAAATGTCCATAAGATATTTCATTAATTCTCCCTATTTTGTTTCAGTCATTTTGATATCAAAACACCTTTACAACTTTTATTCATAAAAATACATGTATACATATGTATATGTACATATATAAGTAATTGTTTATGTGATTACTTTTGCATGGTTGAATGGCTTCTTCTGAAAATCTCTTTAATTTTATAAATACTGTGGGAATAGCAAAAAGAAAATCTCTACTTTAAAGATTGTTCTACTTCTGGAAGTACAGCCAACATTTTCTGAGTAAAGGAGTCTGACATTTTCTGGTGCTCGATAGTGAATCAATTTTGTACTTATTGAACATGTGCTTTATTCCAAGATTGACATATTTTTTTTCATCTGGAACAGAGGCCTAGAGCAGTCATGTGTATGGACATAAACTGTGCATTTCCCAGGCCAGGTGACCAAAACAAGGGTCAAGCTAGCAGACTTGGTGATGAGGCAGGTGGAGTTGTCCCCAACGCCAGCAGCAGTTTTATCTTATTCTTTTTGTGTTTCTGTGGGCTACAGAGCTTCTACACTCCATGAAGCTCATGCCAGAGCATTGCTCGCAACCCACTTGCTACTACACGTGGAAGGTATTTTTCTCCCTCCCATATCTACAGAATATATTTTTCTTCATATGAAGTTTAAACCTGAATTCAAGAATATTCAGAATCTATTAATAGAGAATATCATTCTTGCACTGCTCTATTTAATTAATACAATGCCAAGTTTACTTATAGGCACAAAGATCACAGATATTGGATTATTAGGGATAGTTCTCATTCAAATGATCTGTTTTGAAAAAAATCATTGAAATGATCTCTCTGTTCAAGCATCTTCTCTTTCCACTGCCACTTACCATGTACTCATTGTCAACTGAAATTTCTCTCCAAAGATACAAAATCCACTGTTCTTAATTTAGTTAAGATTAAAAGGCAAAATAAACTGATGTAATAATAAACTGATGCAAAATAAGTTGATGTAACTTATACCAACATTATTGAGGATCTACTAAGTTCCCAGCAGTGAACTAAGCCTGATAAAAATTTAAGCAAATTAAATAACCATAATTGAAGACCTCCTGTGTTCACAGCAGTGAATTCAACTTGATAAAGAAGTAATATATCCTTTACCATGAACTGTAAAGCTATGAGATCAGGGTACTGCAACAGAAAAAATACAGACAAAATGGAGAAGCGAATATCAGAGACCAGTTGGAGATGTAAGGAAAAAAGATGACTTGCAGGGTTCTGGATTGAATGACTAGGTAGATTTCACTACCCATTAAGCACTACACCATATGTGTAGTGTGTAGTGTCGCACTACATACTGTGTAGTGCTTAATGGGCAGTGAAAGGGTGGCCACAGTGATCTGGGACTCTGCAAAGTTGAGGTTAGTGCTGGGGAAAATTGTAAATTAATTAAATTCTGCGCTGTGGACCTCACTCCATCTTTTCAAACTCAACTATCTTTGTGTAACATATGTCTTTGTCACTTTTCGTCTGGACTAAGTGGTGTTCTATTCTCCAGGCTTTATATTACAACCAAAGTGATTATTCCAAAATAAAATCTAATCACCTTTCTCTCTTGCTTAGAAACTTTCACTGGTTTTGTATTGCCCATAAGAACAAGCTTAGTCTCTTTACCTTGGTTTACCAGGCCTTGTATGATATGACTATGACTTGCTCTCCCATCTTTCTATAATTGCCCACTCTGGCCCTACATTCTGGTCATACATAAATGCTGATATTGATTTAAGAACATCATGCTGTTTTATAATTTCATGTCTTTGCACATGCCATTCCTACTACGTAGGCTGTCTTCACCTCTGCTAGCTCCTTTCCTTTCCTAAACCTTTGTAACTGGTAACTCCCATCATCCTTCAAAATGCAGTTCAAATATTCTCCATTATGAACCGTTTTCTGACTTTTCCCAGTAGCAATCCATCATCTGTTAACAACAGACCTTACATCTCGACTATGGCAATTAGACAAATGTATTTCAATTATTTACGTATATGCTTCTTTTATTATAACATGGAATTTCATCCTTTTTGGGTTGGAAATAAGCCTAGGATGCAATAATTCATAGCTTTCATGAATTTCAACATGCATTTCTTTCTATCAATTAATAAAGGTGTTCTTAGACTTTCCCAGACTAACTTCCTTTCTCAGCAATTTGGCTAAGACATCTTATTACATGCTCCACAGTTGTAAGAAGATGGTATTCTAGATGTCAAACATATACAAAAAAAAAAGAAAGAGAATAGAATAATGAATTCTATTATCTGATTTCAATAATTATTAACTAATCGTCAATTGTGTTCCATCTACACTGTCTGTAACTCCACTCTTTTTCTTCCTTCCAAATATTTTGAAGCAAATCCCAGATATAATAACATTTCATTTGCAAATATCACTGTATATATTTCTAGAAGGTAAGAACACTTTTAGAAAACATATTGATGATATCATTATCACACCTAAAACATTAACGACTTCTTAATTTCACCTAATAATCAGTATTCAATTTTCCACCACTTTTCATATTTTAAATGGTTTGTTTGAATAAAGGTCCAGTAAAGTCTACACTTTGTGACTGGTTGATATTTTTTTTTAGTATGAAACAGTGGTTCTTAATTGGTGGCAATTTTGTCCTGTTAGGGGTATTTTGTCAGTGTCTGGAGAGACATTTTGGGTTTTTACAACTAAAGAAGGTGTGCTACTGATATCTGGTGTGTGGAGGCCAGGGATACTGCAAAACATCCTATAATGCATAGGATGGCAACCATAATAGAAAATTTTCCTGCCCAAACTATCAACAGGGCAAGGTTGAGAAACCAGAGTCTGTAGGTTTTTTTCATTCATCTATTTTTCATTGCAATTTATTTGTTGAATAAACTGAGTCATTTTTCCTATAAAGTTTCCCACAGTCGGTATTTTGCTGATGATACACCATGGTATCATTTAAACATAGTTCTCTGTACTTTGTATTTATTAGCAATGGGGTCTAGAAGCTTCATCAGATTCAGATTCAATTTCTTTTTAGCAAAATTACTTACTCTATTTCATAGATACTGTTGTGTACTCCCATCATGAGGTACATAATGTGTGGTTCTCTCTCTTTTTTTCATCAAGATGGAAAATTACTGATGATCACTATCTAAATCCATTAATTCCGTAGAGACTGAAAAATAGTGATATTGCATTTTTTGTAATTTCTTCTTCATTTATTGCAAACATCACAATTTCTTAGAAATATTCAATTATGATGTTTGATATGAAAATGACATTGTGCATAAAATTTACACATTCTATATTTATCTTCAGAAACATCCTGTACCACCTTGATGGGAAGACAAGCCAATTTTCAATACTCGTGGAGGCCTGGGAGCACTGCAAGCCACTTGCATCAAATGAGACCCTTCAAGAAGCCCTATCAGAAGTGTTGAACAGCATTAATTCTGCTCAGGTTTACTTCAAAGCAGGACTTGATGTGTTTGAGAGTGTCTTGGTTGAAAAGAACTGAGAAAACTCTAAGCATTTTAGAAAGTGTGTTTACAATTCCACAAGCAAAAGCTCTAATCTGACCAGATTTTCTAACATTGAAGTCTTGTTTCCCCCAATGGCTTTTTGACAAGTGTAAAGCTATTATTACATTGTCTTTTTTAAATGTACATATAAAAAGAGCATTTTGCACATATAATATTTTTCTGATATCTACATTTCTGAATATATAAAGCAAGTTACTGAAATAATACTTAAGATTTATGTATTGAAAAGAAATCTGCTGTATTTTTATATATATATAAACTATTTGGGGGGAAAGTTGCAAGAAGTTCTGAAAAATCTTTGCTCCTATGGGCAGAATATATAGGAACACAAGTTATTCCCTCTGATAGAGCTATTAATGACCTAGTTTCTGTAATAGAAATGGAGAGTTGATATGGTTTCAGATTAACTTCACTATTAAGTGTTCAATATGAAGAATTCAGGTATTCTGAGTGATTCGTTGACCAAAGTACTTTGAATGTTTCTATTTTATGAAATGAAGTTCCTATTCTTAACACAACTAGATATAGTAATACACTGGTTATGAAATTGTATTTTTTAAGTATTAATGAAAAAAAGAGCCATAAACATTCCACAGAAAAATCTCAAGGTAGCTGCACAGAACAATTTAAATGCAAATTTTTTCCTAACAACTTATAAAGTGACTAGCTTTGAAACCCCTAATTTGCCTCAGTTGATTTTGTAAGAATTTTGAGAGTGATGCATGACTTATGAGGGAGAAAAATATTTCATATTTTTTTTTCTGTTGGAACTATTGAAACAGAAGCTACTCTAAAATGAAAGCATCTCACATTGCTTTTCTTTCTTGTATCTTTTCTGAAACTCCTTGCTATCAGGCAGTTTTCACAGAATACTGTATAATATCCACAGGAAAGTAGCAAAGTTTTTCTTTGAAAACCCACAATATCTTAGAAAGCAACAAACTCTACTTCTGCCTCTGCCAAAAAGGAGTTACTATGAAAGAAGTAGTTAGTTTTTTGTTTTTTTTTTTTGAGACAGAATCTGGCTCTGTTGCCCAGGCTGGAGTGCCATGGCGTCAGCCTAGCTCACAGCAACCTCAAACTCCTGGGCTCAAGCGATCCTACTGCCTCAGCCTCCCCAGTAGCTGAGACTACAGGCATGCGCCACCGTGCCCGGCTAATTTTTTTTTTTACTATATATATATTTTTTAGTTGTCCAAATAGTTTCTTTCTATTTTTAGTAGAGACGGGGGTCTCGCTATTGCTCAGGCTGGTCTCGAACTCCTGACCTTGAGTGATCCACCTGCTTCGGCCTCCCAAGAAGTAGTTGTTTTTATCAATAAAATTTCCTTCATTTTGTGAAGAAGCTTTTGAATTTTTTTTTCTTCTTTATCCTTAATTGTGACGAAGATGGAAATGTAGAAAACACTCATGCTTCTGGTTTTATGCAGTGTTTTAATGAGAGTGTCTCTTCCACACTTCAGTTCTCTCATGTGGAAAATTAAGCTTTTCATATTGACATTGTCATTGAATAGCACTAACATCCATTATTCCCTGAAACCCTAAAATTCTGCTTATTGGGTGACAGGTTAAACTTTGATTTTACCTTTAGAAATCGATTTGAAAAATGTTCTTCTAATATTAGAGAAAGCAATTCCCCTTAGGAAACACATCCTCAGCATGTTTCATATAAATTTTCTCTACCTAACTCAGCACTCGAACATACTTCCCCATGACACACTGCCAGAGCAACATAGCAGACAATCGCTGTATGTCTAAATAGTCACTTTTTATGGATGACCACAAACCTAATCTTAGTTTAAAGAAAAGCTAAAGTTGAGGGGAAAGAATTAATCAGTATTGATTAATTGATTTATAAGGGTCAACCGTTCCTACCACAAGTAATATTTATATGCTCAAGGCAAAGTAGAGAATGGAGGCAATTAGCTAGATAATTCAAGCAGAAACCCATTTTCATCTAAATTGTCCACGTGCACATATTTTGACATGAGAAATGAAACTACCTTACAATTTTATTTTTTTAACTAAGGTACTTGTTTGAAAATATTTGCCATGTTGAAGAATGTGCATAGAAAAAGTCTAAAAGGATCAGGCTCCTGCCTGCCTTGACATGAATGCTCTTTCTTACTCCGCAGAGATGGAGCAGAAAAGAGGTGAGAATATACACACAGGCCCATGTGGGCCCAATAGTAGAATGCCTTAGCCCAAAGGATCTTAAATATTTAATCAAAGGTCAATATGTTCATTCCAGTTCTTTATTTGGAGTTGAATTTAAAACAAAGAAAGGCAGACTATTATCAGTTTGGTAGTTTATCATTTTAGAAGAAAATCCTAAAACACATTCACCCCCCATAACCTAAAATAGCATTGAGAACAGAAAATAATTTTCTTCTTCATTTTTTGTTTAAAGATTCTGTACCCAGGTACAGAAATTACATTGCAAAATCTTAATCTGTATTCCTCACTTCTAAATTATATGATATTTGCTATTTGAAAACTGCTATTGACTATGGACTAATATGTTTGTATTAGTCTATTTAAGAGATTATGTGAAGAAACTACATCTTAATTAAAGCAGATGTGCAATCATCCTATAGATGCTGCTCTAGACCTTTGACTGCAACAAACCTCTTAACTAGCAACATTACTGCTATGGTGTGATTACCTTGGAATTCCTCCAAATTTATATTATTTTACTTTTCTCTGCAATTGATCCAAGTAAATGATATCCTGAGCAAGTTAATAGCAAGTGTTACAGAAATTGGTAGTAGGTTTAAATTGTTGCTGAGACATCATGTGCCTGCTATGTCTCATAATTCTTCATATGTAGAATTTTGTCAAGAAATAATGAATCATAAATGATCATTCTCCCAAGAAAATATGGCAAATGTAGACCCATCATTTGTGTTCAGGCAGGAATACTGCAGTTCACACATGGAATACTGCTGTTTAAGGAAAAGCATAAACCTTAGAGTCGAAAGGAAGCCTAAGAGACATTCTGGTCTAAACCCCAGGATCTTGCCTTCAGCCAGAAAAGACATTATCATCCCTGTGAGATATAGTAACTGAACCCGAAGTGACTTAGAAACTTGGACACAGTCATGTATTTAGTTAATAACAAAAGCTGGAACTTAAGCTTCTCTGCTTTCTCATGCAACATATCCTGCTCTCTCCCTGAGGAGACAGGTTTATAAATGATCTTTTCCAGGGCATTCTATGTAACCAACCATTCTATCAGATGTTGTATGGACTGGAAACACTGCTTTTAATTCAAGGCTAGCTCATTCTTTGACTACACCGTACAAACAAAACTGTCCCAGGGAATCCAGGCAAAGGACAAAAAGATTGGGCCCTTGGGGGGAAGTGGGAAGAGTGTCTACATGACACCCCAAGTCGGGAAGAAGACATTAAGCAAAATGTTTTATAAGAGAACAAGTAAGCCCAAGATTAAGTCAATAATCTAAATCAATGTTTCTCAAAATGTGGAATTTGGGGAAAGGCCTTCAGCAAGATTTCCAGATGATTCTTATGCACGGTGAAGTTTAAGAATTACCAATCTACGTTAATCCTAGCTCCCAAGAAAACACTAGGTGACAAGATATCTAAATAAATTGAAGGGTCACAATTAAAAGAAAGACTTAAAGCTTTGCTATTAATGGAACCATTAAAAGGAAAAAATAGGACCTATTTTGTCTTTCAGAATAGGACTCAGTTGCAGCTAATACCTATGCCTGCTACATGCCAGGCACTATTCTAGACTTTTTCCATGTAGCTTTTTGTTTGTTTGTTTTTGTCTAATTCAACCCACAACAACTCATTTTAAAAAATGAGGAACCTTGGTTGGGAGACTTGTGCGAAAAATGAGGTACAGTTATCTGCTGGGCCCTCTGGTGTACAGTTCTGTGTTCTTCACAGAGTGCTGCAAAAAATATCAGAACAATCTTTTGATGCTAGAAAGTGATGTAATTGAAAATTTTCATGTATTTCTCCACAACTGGTCAGACTGTGCAGTCTCTCACTCCTTTGGTATAATGAAGGAGTTTGAGGAAACAAATTACATCATTGCTGGTAATGGTAGCTCACTCCAACAATGGTGTACGTATGTAGGTAAGTTTAAAGATATCTGTAAGAGCATTAAAAGTGCACTATCGTGGAATATCATGACAACTAGATTACAAATAGTAAAAAGATGCCAGAAGCCACAAGTGTCACAATTTCTTTCTCTAAATGCCTATGTAATTTCCCTGGAGGGGGCGGAAAAAAAGCAGGTGCTGTGATTTAATTTATTTATTTTTATTTTTCTCCTAGCAACCAACAGTTCAATAGGTGCTGTGATTTAAAACCAAAGTTTTATATTATTCTTAAAGACTCAGAATAACTAAATGACTTTTTCAATTAAATAAATATATAGCATATAGTAAGCTTCCCCACTGGAAAGGTAAGTGTTACAAAAATAAGATAAATGATGATTTGTTACCATCTTACTAATGATGGACCAGCATCTTTGTCTCAAATGAAAAACTATAATTATTTGCACAATAAATTGGTAGACTTAGCCAAAAATATTTCATGAGACATTCTGTGATATGTATAATTAATTACTCCAAAAATTTAGCTTTCTCTGAGGGTAACACATTGTCATCTCATTGGTTTAATAGCCTATTTAAATAAATGTGCCTTAGCTGCACATTTACTTAACAGAAAGGAATTATTTTAAACTGCCAATCCATATGTTGAGTGGAAGGGAAGTGGGCCCACATACTCCAATAAACACATAAGCGATATAATAGTTTTATTACAGGACCATGGAGGCAACGTAGGAGATAAACAAACAAATAATGTGGTATTTGAGAAAAAAAATATTCTGCTCAGCCACATTAGTGAATTTGTATTTCTTTTATGAGTTTATATTGCCTCATTAGAAGAACCTGCTATTCTGAAAGATCTTAAAAACCTTCAGAGTCCTAAGCACCCC